ATCAGGAATGGATATTTGGCACATGTTTTCTCTGCACCTACTGAGATGCTCTTAGGAATGTTATCCTTCATTTTGTTAATGAAATGTATCATGTTGATTAATTTGCATAAATCAAACCATCCTTGTATCCCTAGAATAAATACTACTTGATTTTGGTGAATGATTCTTTTAATTTGTTTTTAAATTGGTTTGATAAGATTTTGTTGAGAATTTTGCATCTATATTTGTCAGGGTTATTGCTCTGTAATTTTTTCCCCTAGAGTTGTATAACTTTATTTTATTTTTTGTAATTTTCTTTGTGAGTGTGTATGTGTGTTTTTGTCTGGTTTTGGTATCGGGGTAATGCTGGCCTCATAGAATGAATTTGGAAGGATTTCTCCCTCTCCTATTTTTAGGAATACCTTGAGAAATATTTTTTTTTAATTTTTTTAAAAGATTTTATTTATTTATTTGAGAGAGAGAGCATGAGAAGGGGAAGGGTCAGAGGGAGAAGCAGACTCCCCGCTGAACGGGGAACCCGATGCAGGACTCAATACCGGGACTCCAGGATTACGACCTGAGCTGAAGGTAGTTGCTTAACCAACTGAGCCATCCAGGTGCACTACTTTGAGAAATATTAAATATTTGGTAGAATTCACCTGTGAAGCCATCTGGCACTGGACTTTTGTTTGTTGGGAATTTTTTTTTATTACCAGTTCAACCTAATTACTAGTAATTGGTCTGCTCAGATATTTTCATTTCTTCATGATTCAGTCTTAGGAGGTTGATGTTTTTAGGAATTTATCCATTTTTTTCCTAGGTTGTTTAATTTCTTGGCATATAGTTTTCTTTGTGGTAAGCTGTGATTTTTTTTTTGTATTATTGTGGTGTTGGTTGTAATTTCTCTTTCATTTCTGATTTTAAGTCATTTTTTTTCTTTGATTAGTCTGGCTAAAGGCTTAATAAGTATATCTTTTCAAAGAACCAGATCTTAGTCTCAATTGATCTTTACCATACTTTTTTAGTCTTGATCTCATTTGTTTATGCTCTGATCTTTATTATTTCCTTTCTTCCATTCATCTTGGGCTTTGTTCTTCTATTTCTAGTTTCCTTAGTTGCAAGGTTAAGAGATTTTGATTGTTTCTTGAGGTACACTTGTATCTTTCAGACTTTCCTCTTAGAACTGCTTTTGCTGCATCCTCCAGATTTTGAACCATTGTATTTCATTTTTATTTGTCTCCATGTATTTTTTTGATTTCCTCTTTGATTTTTCATTGATCCATTGGTTGTTTAGTGGCCTGTTGTTTTTGTTTAATCTGTGTTTTTCTTTAACCCCCCCCCCCCAGGTTTTTGTTTTTTTGGGTTTTTTTTTGTAATTGATTTCTAGTTCATACTCTTGTGGTCAGAAAAGATGCTTGATATATTTCAGTCTTCTCAGATTTATTTAAAAACTTGTTTTGTGGCCTAACATGATCTATCCTAGAAAATGTCCCATGTGTACTTGAAAAGAATGCGTATTTTGCTGTTTTTGGGTGGACGGTTCTGCATATATCTGTTAAGTCCATATGGTCTAATGTGTTGTTCAAAGCCACGGTTTCCTTATTGATTTTCTTTCTGGATGACCTATCCATTAACACAAGTGGGATATTTAAGTCCTCTACTATAATTGTGTTACTGTCAATTCCTCCATTTTTGTCTGTTAATACTTGCCTTATATATTTAGTGCTCCTATATTGGGTGCATAGATATTTACAATTGTTGTATTCTCTTGTTGGACTGAAACATTTATTACTGTGTAATCCTCTTTTTTTTTTTTTTTTTTTGTCTTGTTATGGTTTTTGTTTTTAGTTTTTTTGAGAGAATGCATGTGGGCGGGGCAGTGGGAGAGGGATAGAGAGAATCCCAGGCGGGCTTCACAACCAGCATGGACCCTGACATGGGGCTCAATCTCATAACCCTGAGATCATGACCTGAGCTGAAACCAGGAGTCAGGTGGTTAATTGATTGAGCCACCCATGTGCCACTATAATTTTCTTTTTTCTAATTATAGCCTTTTCTTTCCTCTTAAAGAGTTCCCTCACTGTTTCTTGTGAGGCTGTTTCAGTGGTGATGAACTCTTTTTTAACTTTTATTTGTCTGGGAAGATTTTTATCTCTCCTTTAATTCTGAATAACTTGCCTGGTAGAGTATTCTTGGTTGTAGGTTTTTTCCTTTCAGCACTCTCAATATATCATGCCACTTTCTTTTGGTCTGCAAAATTTATGCTAAATAGGCAGCTGATAACCTTGGGTTTCTCTTGTATGCAACTGTTTTTCTTTGCTGCTTTTATGATTCTTTATCTCTAATTTTTGCCATTTTAATTGTTATGTATCTTGGTGTGGACCTCCTTGGGTTCATCTTGTTTGGGACTTTTTTTGTTTCGTGGGTCTGGGTATCTGTTTTCTTTCCCCAGGTCAGGGAGGTTTTCAGCTAGTATTTCTTCAAAGTCATTTCTTTCTAGTCAAGTCTCTGCCCTTTCTACATTTTTCATTGTGACCCTCTCTATGATTAGCTGTGGAAGATCTGTTCTGCTAGTCTTCAAGTTGTCTTTAGAGTTGCTGTACATATAGTTGTTGCTTTGGCATGTCTGTCAGAGGAGGTAAGGTCAGGACACCATCTTTCCTACCTTCCCTAGCTTTCTAGTAAGTTTTGAAATTGGGTGGTATAAGTCCTCTAACTTTGTTTTTTCTTTAAAAATATTTTTTTGGGGGGGTGCATGGGTGGCTCAGTCAGTTGAGTGTCTTAGACTCTTGATTTTTGGCTCAGGTCATGATCTCAGAGCTGTGGGATCAAGCCCCACATTGGGCTCCCTGCTCAGCATGCATTCTGCTTGTCCCTCTCCGTCTACTCCTCTCACTCATTCATGCTCTCTCTCTCTCAAATAAATCAAATCTTTAAAATACGTATTTTTGGTGGTATTGTTTCTTTGATGTCATACAAATTTTAGAATAAGGCAATCAGTTTCTACCAAAAAGCTTGCTGTGATTTTTGGCTGTGTTCACATTAAATCTTTATAGATTAGTTTGGGAAGAATTGAATCAGTAACATTTGTATTTCACATCCCTGAAGGTGGTATATTTCTCTTTTTATTTAGGTTTTCTTTCTTTTAGCAGTGTTTTGTAGTTTTTAGCATACATGTTCTATTCCTGATTTGTTATCTTCCTAATGTAAAAGGTATTTAAACAAATTACATTTCCAATTTTTTCTAATATGTAGAAAGAGAATTGCTGTTTGAGTTTTGATCTTTAGTCTTATGGTCTTGTTATTAGGTATAATTTTTTTTGTAGATCTTTAGGATTTTGTGAATAAAGACAATTTTACTTTTCTAATTTGGAAATTTTCTAGCTGTCTTTCTGTTAATGATTTCTAATTCACTTTTGTGTGGTTTTAGTTTTAGTCACTAATAGATGAAAATGGGACTGCTCCATTTGAGTGAGGGATTGCTGGTGGTATAGGAGAGAGGGATTAGAATTGCCACATGTTCAGGGAGGCACTCTGCCTTTTCTTTATGAATGCTCAGGGGTTTCTGAGGTGCCTCTATGGTTTTTATGTATACGGCCTGAAACTACTGCTGTATTATGCAGTAAATTAGGTTAGGTGAAAATAATGCTAAGTTGAAGAAGGTACTTGGAAGAAAGCAACTAGTACATTGTTAAGTGGTTGTCTCAGACTAAGCACTTAAAGAGATTTGCTGTATAATTCAAATATACAAATAAATGAGACCTTAGTGGAAACATACATTGTGTAATATAAATTGAAAATGAGTACCAAGATGGTAAAACCCAGAAATGTTTGTCTAGTCTAGATGATAGTGTTTGGACCTACACGCACTTTCCAGGAATACATAATTACATAATTTCATTGTTTCTTAGAGTGAGATTTTTGCACGGATGATACTGTATTATTTCCCATAAGACTCTATTCACTATTGAGGATGAAGCACTATAAAGTAGATGCTTTCTGTTAAATAAGATAAAATTATTTTGGCCTTTTTAATTTATTTTTTAAAATTTTATTTTATTTTTTCAGTGTTCCAAGATTCATTGTTTATGCAGCACATCCAGTGCTCCAGGGAATATGTTCCCTCCTTTATTTATTTATTTGTTAGAGAGACTGAGGGAGTGAGAGAGAGCACAAGCAGGGGGAGCAGCAGGCAGAGGGAGAAGCAGGCTGCCTGCCGAGCAAGGAACCGGATGTGGGACTTGATCCTAGGACCTTGGGATCATGACCTGTGCCAAAGGCAGACTATTAACTGACTGAGCCACTCAGATGTTCCTATTTTGGCCTTTAACAAAATTCTTAGAACTAAGTAAAATGATAAGGTCAGTGCCTATTTATTGTTAAGTTTATAATATCTTATTTAAGTGGGCATAAAGGTGATTCCTGACAGCTCTCTAAGTGCATTCACTTCATTTAGTGTGGAGATCAGAGAACTATGGTTTTTATGTTCTTAAAAGATTGTAAGAAAAAAACAAACAAACAAGGAGGGACTATGTGGTCCACAAAGCCTTCCATACTATCTGGCCTTTCACAAGGAAAGTTTGCTGATTCCTGACGTAATGTCTAAGAAGCAGCTCATATTTAAAAAGGATTGGTTTCACTTTTAGAGATGTCTTCAAAAAAGGAGAGAGAATGTTAACAGTGACTAATAACATGGCCTCTTTCTTATTTTATCCAACGGCATCTGATTTTGGAATCTTCTCTGCAGTGACCCTTCCATGTTTAAACGACGGATTTTGGCTTCAGTCTCTATTTGAAAACCACCATTATGCAGAGGAGATTGATAATGAGAAAACTATTTTTCAAGAGTAGTATTCTTTAGGGGAATGAACATTACGCTTGGAGTTTGTGCTGTATAAAGCTCACATGTTAGTTTTTACAGATAGCTTAATTTTTAAAGGTTCTCTAAATCGCTAAATCACTTACACTTTGAATTGTGTTATGTTCAGATTAATTTTATATTGACATATGTATTTTTGCAGGATGATTGTCTTTTGAAAGTATGGTATCCTATGACTGGCTGGAAATCCTCAATTATACCTCAGGATCATCAAGAAGTGAAAAGGAGACAGGCGTCTACCCAGTTTTCCTTTGTTTATTTGGCACATCCCCGAGCTGTGGCAGGTTTCTCATGGCGTAAAACTAGCAAGTATATGCCCAGGTTAGACAAATGTGTCCCATAACTTTGGTGTGTTTACTTATGTATTTGTAAAAATACTATATATTTCTAAAAAGCAAAGGTCTTTTTAGTACGTTGACTCAGTGGAAATGAAGAGCATAGGTTTTGGGTGTTAACTGTCTGAATTCTAATCCTGCTGTTGTTACTAGCTTTGTGAACTTCTGCCTGCATTTCTTAAGTTCTCTGTGCTTTAGTTTCCTTCTCTTAGGTAACAGTACCTACCTCAGAGGGTTGCAGTGAGACTCATTATCCTAGTGCATGTAAATACTTACTGCAGGCCTTTGCACATAGTATGGGCTTAGGCTGTGTCACTGATACTGTTAGTAGTAGCAGCAGTAGTAAGAGTCCAGGAAGGAAATGTTGGCAAGTTTGAAAGCACACATTGAAGGAAAATAAACATAGTAATAAACTATCAACTATCAATAATATACATGGTGAGAAAGCATATCATTCACAGTGAGTAAAGTGGCCAGGTTTTTCTTAATTTAGGGCCATCAACAGAACCTTTTCAAAGAATTAATTGTTGTAAGTTTTTCCTCAATGTTCAACATCTCTTAAAAGTATTAAAGAAACTACAGAACAGCTCATACAAATGATTCCTATATCATATATATAGTTATAAAAAAGCTTGCTTAGAAATCTGTATTTTTGAGAGAAAGTTATTTCATGTGTGAACTGTTCACATCTGATAGGAAATACAACATATGTTATAGAGGTGCTCAGTAAATGGGAAATTCATTTTTGGAATCTGAGTTAAAAGTTTATTCTGCTTAAATTATTTGTGTCTGTTAAAACATTTGCAGAATACCTTTGACCAAGTCGGATTCTACATTTATTATTTTTTTAAATGAAGGATGATTTTTTATTCTTTTATAATGAGCAGTTAATTCACTTTAGCTGCTTGGTGTTGTAACATTTTTGCTTATTTTAACTTAATGGAAATTGACTTATAGTTTGAAATTATATTCTTCTTGTAGTTTTATTTTGAAGATGCTTATTTGCTTACCTGTTTATAATCTTTTGATTATAAGAAGGATGATACAGGATGACACAAGTAGTGCTGTAAGACATGCAGTTTAATTACATTTCATGAACTTTTCTTATGGTCATTCTGTAATTTGCAACAATTAGGTTTTCTTTTGCTCTTTCGTTTGTTTAGAAGATACCAATATTCCCACCGAACCTAGTTTTCAAGCAGCATGTGTGTAATCAGGCATAAACTTCTGTCTCTTTGTCAAGACTATTTCCTGGTTTTTATGGTGTTCACATTCACAGTGATAACTTGTGTATGATTTCAAGCTTCTATTGACCTCTCTTTCTCTACACACTATAACATCTAAGCAGTTGGAAGCATACTATACTGTCATTTAACTGAGCCACTCAAGGCATAGTTTTAATGAATCAAAGTGTCATGGACAGCTAGGTTGTTTCCGTTTTATGGCAACTGATTGCAGCCCTTTATTCAGCCTGCCATCTTGCAAGTATAAACAGGTAGTCAGTGGGGTTTGGTGAGAGTGTGAAATAGGCTGTATAAATCTCTTACCATTACTGGAAAAATAACTGCTCTTGGTCATACTGTTAGTTGTGCACTAATGCTATTTTTATATGTGAAGAGCCAAATATTAATAAACTTTAATTCATCAGTGGCACTGATATTCATAGTAACTTCTGTTCACTTCTCTTTGTCATTAGAGGTTCTGTCTGTAATGTGTTATTAACTTCATGCCATGATGGCGTCTGCCGACTCTGGGCAGAAACTGTATTACCAGAAGATTGTCTTTTGGGTGAGCAGATCTGTGAGACTACCACTTCTAGTGTTGCCAGCAACCTCACTCAGGCTGGAAGACACAAAGACAGAATACAGCATGCTCTTGAGGTACTATATTATATAAAATGGTAAATAAATGTTGAAGATATGTGAGTTTGGTGGGAATTTATAGGATAGGATGCAGGTAGTGCACCTGGTACAAGTAATGATGAAATTAATAACAAATAATTCTTACTAATTTGTTTTGTGCTTGTAAGACAACTCATTTTATGCCCCTTAGAAACCAAATACAACAGTAATGATCTCAGACATGTAGTCTAGGTAAGTATTACAATTTTAAGTTTTTCATTTTGTGTGTCAAATATGAAAATCTATAGGAATAAGCTTTGATTAGTACAACACACAAAGGACCCTGAAACTCTTTGTAATTAAAAATGTTTTGGGCGCCTGGGTGGCTCAGTGGGTTAATCCTCTGCCTGTGGCTCGGGTCATGATCTCAGGGTCCTGGAGCCTGCTTCCCCCTCTCTCTGCCTACTTGTGATATCTCTCTCTCTGTCAAATAAATAAAATAAAATCTTAAAAAAAAGTTTTACTTTTGTTTCATGAAGATTAAATCTTACATGTGTGTTCTAATTAAAAATGACTGTTTTGATTAAGAATCAGACATAAGTCGACTTTTAATATAATTGCTTATAATTTCCATAGTTTACTATTTCTTTTTTTTTTTTTTAAAGATTTTATTTATTTATTTGACAGACAGAGATCACAAGGAGGCAGAGAGGCAGGCGGATAGAGAGGGGGAAGCAGGCTCTCCACTGAGCAGAGAGCCTGATGTGGGGCTCGATCCCAGGACCCTGAGATCATGACCTGAGCCAAAGGCAGAGGCTTAACCCACTGAGCCACCCAGGCGCCCCCACAGTTTACTATCTCAAAGGCAAATTAATTTTTCCAATTTTTAAATGCAATATATATGAAATAAATGTGCTTCCTATGAAGTTAGATTATTTATAATCCAAACTGTTGTGTCCATTACGGTAATAAAATGAGACAAACACATTTTTAAAAGTTATCAGAAATTTATTTTTAATTTTTAAAAAAAATATTTATTTGAGAAAGAGAATGAGAGAGAGAGCATGAGAGGGGAGAGGGTCAGAGGGAGAAGCAGACTCCCCGCTGACCAGGGAGCCCAATGCAGGACTTGGTCATGACCTGAGCTAAAGGCAGTCGCTTAAACAACTGAGCCACCCAGGCACCTATAAATTATCAGAAATTTATTGAAGTAAACCTAGATTGCTAATTTTCTTAATTTTTCATATGTGACTTCTTGCTACAGAAAGAATATGTGCTTATTCTAACATTAGATTAGAAAAAATGTGGAATTTAGAATCCAGCTATTCAAGTTATGTGTGTATGTGTATTTTTTCTTTGTTTATAAGATTGAGATCATATTATGCAGTAATGTTTTATAACTTGCTTTTTATATTTAATGTGTTATAAACATCTCTCTACATTACTAAATATGTTTTTACACTATACTTTTACATTAACATTTTTATGGATGCATAGCCAAAATATTTTGCTGTTCCAGCAAGCAGAAATATTTTTTGGGTTGTGTAGGCTGAAGATGTGCTCCTTAAAAGTTTTATATGAAGTAGGCTTACTCTGATGCTCTCTGTGATTGGGCACTGTTTATACATTTCCCCCCCCCAAAATTTAAAGTATAAGCGAAATTAAAAGCAGAGGTCAGAATAGTTAAAATTATATTTTAATATTTGTTGAAATTTAGTGAGACAAAGTACTTAATTTACTACATGTTTACAGTCATTTTTATATACTTATGTGACATTTTATCTTCAAATTACATATAAGCTTTTGGAAACTAGGTGCTTTGAGACATCTTTGTATCCTCCATGGTACCTGTTATATTGCTTTTCAGGTATAAAACTGAAATACCAATTGTTACATAAAATAAAAGCAGAAGTTGCAAGTAAACGTATATAATTAGTGATTTGACAAATTTTTGCTACCATTTTAGTAATGTTATTAATTAATAATGTTAAAATTGTTTTTAATAGAAAAAGCCTAATTGTCTGATTTATAAGGTGCCTTGGTTTTTGCCATCCTTTTGTCTGAAACACCTAACTGTAAAGTCTATGTAATTCTGTATATACTTACACATTTTGTTCTTTGGAGAAAATAATCAGCCAGTATTACACCAGCCTTGCCAATATAATTTAAAATAATAATAAATGTTAAAGATCAAATGAAAATAATTTCACAGACATTGTGGTGTATCAGGTCTGTAATATATCCATCTTAACCCTATTAAAGAAATAAGCAACTCTGTAGCAGGGAGACCGGAGGTAGTGGACATGCTGCCATAGATCATGCCGCCATAGATCTGACACTGTTTTCCATATGAAAGGAGGTGAGGAAATTGAAAGGAAATTGAAAGGAAAGACCAGGTGTATTACTTTAATACAGAAAGAACTGAGAGGCTGCCACATTTTATTTAGCTGGGTGTGAGAAACAAAGAAATAGAATGGGAAATTATTGTAAAGCATGGTATTGGGGGTGGGTTAAGCTACAGAGTAAGGAAGTGCTGTGAGTTGGGGTTATGGTGTAGAGATACTTTCTTTTTAAAATAGTTCAGATCATTGGGTGTGCTAGTGGAGAATTTTTATCCTATGGACATACCTCAATTTAAATAAATCCCGTAGGTTGGCACTTTCATGGCTCCTCTCACCTATGTAGATTCCCCTTATTCTGTATTTTGTACTCTATTTTTCTTCTTTATAACAGAGATAATATATTATTTAGCTGTAACTGTTTAGTTGTTAGTGAGAATTTTGAGGAGAAATTCTCTTCTTCCTGGTAGGAAGATTCAGGCTTTTTTTTTTTTTTTTTTTTTTTTAACTGTTATGACTAGTAAATTTCATCTCAGTGGTGGGCTATCCTGAAAAAACCTAGACTTTGGACTCCTAATCTTAATAGAAGTTTCTATAGATATAGATGAGCACCTACTTCTGCCTTGAACTATAAAATTTGCAGAAACTATGGAGAATATAATCAGAATTCTTGAAGTTAAGGTAGTTCCTTTAAAAATGTTGAGATTTTGCAGAGAAGAAAATTATAAAATCCTTAATAATCAGAAGTACTTGGATTAGCATTTATTAGACTTCCAGAGTTGGTTTAGCTATTATTTTTCTATTTTAGACAATACACCATTTGAAAAATTTAAGAAAAGGACAGAGGAGGTCTTCTGTTCTTGTGACTCACACTGAATTAATGCCTGACCAGACGGCAACGCATGAAGTTCAGAGACACATTTCCCACCATGCCAATGCTCTATGTCATTTCCACATTGCAGCCAGCATCAATCCTGCCACAGGTAAGGGACAGTAAAGTTTTAGTTCCTATAACTACTCCAAAATAAGATAAATAAATAGAAAACTGGGACTACTAATAGAACCTGTTTTTCATTTTATGTTAATATTCCATGTTGCCTTTAAAAATACTTCTTAATTCAAATAGGAAAATAATATAAAGTACCATTTCTTAAATTGAGACTGTGTGATTCTCAGGAAACAACTGCAAATAAGTGTTTCTGAGCAACTCTGTTTTGTCTAGTATATAGCAAGGTTCTAAGTAAATTAGAGCTTTAGTTGAATATGGGAACACAAGTGGTGGCAGCCTATTTAGACTGATGTCCTTCCCTTTTATATTTTCACCATTAATGTTTCTTCTCAACTTTTCTTAATGACCATCTAATATATTTTTTCATAGTTTTCCTTGTATTTCAGCATATCTTATTTTCTAATCCCGTAGATCTATTTATTTATTTGAGAGAGGCAGAGAGAGAAGGGGCAGAGGGAGAGAATCTCAAGCAGATTCCCTGTTGAGCAGGGAGCCCAACCTGGGGCTCATTCTCACAACTCACATGAGATCCTGACCTGAGCTGTTGGAGGCTTAACCAGCTGAGCCACCCAGGATCCCCGCCAAATAGACTTTCTTATCCTACACTCAGGGAAAGGTATTTTTTTCTTCTCACACTTTCTTTTTTGCTCCTTTCCTCCTGTGAGGTTGAGAAGAAGTATTTTGAGGCAAGTTGTGTTGGCAAAAGCATATTTGAAAGCTTCTATTTAAGGACATTGTTTTCTTTTGTACACGAAAAACATGAAAAGGCACATAGATAATTTCATATTACACTGCTGATGTAACTATATTTGTGTAAAGTTACAGTCATATTTATTGAAATGGAAGTCACTATATTGCTTCAGAATGCAGAGGAGTTTATTTTGAAATGTTTGTTTTTATAGAGGTGATATTCAATAAATAGAATTCCAAACAAGTTATCTTTAGGACACTTGCCCCATCGTCACAGTGGCTCTAGATATGGGCTGCCCAGTATGGGAGCCACTAGCTACATGTAGCTCTTTGAGCATATGAATGTGGCTAGCCTATATTGAATTAGGTGTAAGGTACACACTGGAGTTCTAAAACTTAGTACAGTAAAAGAATGTAAGATCTCTCATTAACCATTTTATTTAATATTGATTACATGTTGAAATGATGATATCTTATGTATATTAGGTTGAAATAAAATATTACAATTAAGTTCACTTGTTTTGTTTTTTTTTTTACCTTTTGTAATACAGCTACTAGAATGAAAATTGCCTATGTGCCTTGCATTTGTGTTTTGCATTATTTCAATCGGACAGTGTTTTGCTACCTGGTTAAATATTACTCTACTTACTGAGCTCACGTACTAATTCTGTTTGTTCTAAGATTGTCTTTATAATATTAACTTGTTTTCAAAATGTTAGTGGTTTCAGATTTTTGTAAATTTTTAACTTCTTTAAAAGAACCTTATCGTGAGTTATTGACTATAATGAAGATCTAGCTTCAAACGGAGTGTAATTAGTGATAGTATGCAGTAAATTCAACACCTCTTAGAAAGGTTGACTTTTTAATGGTATACACTATGCTAATCAAATGGAATAGGATCACAGGATTGTCCCCTGTGGATAGGTTTTCTGTCACATATTTGAGTCTAAGTACTGGATATGTTCTTGTAGCCAGTCAGCCTTGTCCTTCAACATCTTTATTAAATAACCTTCATCTTTTAGCCAGTTTTATCTATTTTTACTTTAACCTACTACATACTATTTTAAAAATCATTTCATTAAAGTATTTGTACTGTATGTAAATACATAGTTTGACCAAGTTGATTGCTAAACGCAAATAATTTTGTATTGCAGGACTCTTCCTCTTCTTCACCTTTTTTTCAGGAAACTTTTTGAGTCTACATTAAAGCTGAAAGCAAAGATGAACAAATACCCATATAAATCTTTACCCAGTTCACCAGTTGTTACTATCTTGTCCTGCCTGCTTTTATTCTCCCCTTCTGCCCACTTGTGTATGTCTTTGCTTCCTCTTCCCTTATTTTTGGCTGTGTCATTTGAAAGTAAAGTTGTCACCAACATTATCCTTCATCTCCTAAATATTTTATGACATTATCTAAATATTTCAAGTGTGTCTTATAGTAAAATAGGAGGTTTCCTCCATTACTACAATGCTGTTACTGTATTTAAGGAACATGGATAAGATTATATTTAATATATAGTTGATATTAAAATATAGACTCTTTCTTTTATTCACTTGATTGTCATTTCTTTTAAACTCCTCATCTATGATAGTTCCCCTCAGTTGTCAAAAAAAAGTCTCTCAAAGAACTTCTCTGTTATCTTTTAGAGCATCTTGCTGTCTGAATATTTGCTCATGATAAGGTTTAGGTGAAACATTTTTAGCAAGAATAGAGGATGTATTGTTTTATAGTATTCCTACTTTATAAATTCTATTTTATATGATTTGTTTCATTTTTATCAGAAACCCAGGACTGTCATCCAGGAATTAGAAAAAAAGAACAACTTGGAACTTTATTTAACACTGATATATATTAACAGAACACTACCAAAATACCCTGTGCATTTTATCTTTAGACTTTCATATTTTGCAGAGGACAGTGGTTTTTTGTTTTGCTTTCGTTTTTGCTTTTTGCTTTCTGTTGAATGGATTATTTGTAATATTAATTGGGATTAAGGAGATTGATTTTTTTAGCTTTATTTTACATGAACTAGTCTGTTTTGTGAATTACAGTTAACCCAACTGGAGGAAGCCTGCTAATATACTTTAGAAGTTTGCTTGTCTTCCCATGTTCTTCTTTGGCATTATTTTCTCCCAGCTTTTTAGTTTCAAACATTTTAGAAAGGTTGAAACAATACTAAGGTGAACATTCATGTCTTCTACTTTGAATAAAAACTGCTAACATTTTGCCACAGTTGCTTTATTCTCTCTGTATATACCTGTGTGTGTTGGGGGCGGGCATGTGTGAGTACAATTCTTTCTTAATCTTTTGAAGAAGTTACGTATAGCATGGCACATCAGGTTTACGTACTTCAGACAGTATCTCCTAAGAGTAAGGAAATTCTCTCACATGATCACAATATTGGTATTATCTTTAAGAAAATTAGTAGTTATTTCATAATCTCTAATATCCAGTTCATATTTAAACTTAAATTTCTCCAATTATCTAAAATTCTTTTATAGCTGCTTTTCTGTTTTATTTTTCTGTTCCTCCATCCCCAAACCAGGATTTAATAAAGGTTCATGCATTTGGTATATTTGTTTTTTAAATTAGTAAATTAATTCCATTAGTAATTTAAGTCATGTGCCGTTAATTCTTAATATTTACTTTTACCATTAAATTCAGTTAAAGTTTTTACAAATCCTATTGGAGTTATGTTGACCTTTTCTGTTTAAGTATAGAGTTAGTCTTTATAAAGACAAACTTATAAGTGCTTTATAAGCACTGGGTAATCTTTTTAAAGACACGAGAAATTCATATTGAAATCTTACTTTTTTTCCTCACAGATATTCCAAATGTCTTGGTTGGCACTGTATTTAACATTGATGATGGAAATGGGGGCTTTGTGGTTCATTGGTTAAACAACAAAGAGTTTCATTTTACGTCATCTACTGAAATATTTATGCAGCAATTACGAAAACTTTCTGAGAAGCAGATAGATCATGAAAGTGGTGAAGGAGATAGAGAAGATGAGGAACGTTCACAGGAGGAAAAAGAGAGGGGTTTACATATGAAACTAGATCATGGTTAGTATTGCATGTTCAGATTTTTCTTTTTGGCAAGTCATCAGCTTCTTGTGATACCACTTTTAGTTTATAATCCTTCCTTCCTGCTCTTCTTTTTTACTTTTCCAGTCACTTACTGACCATCTGCTATGGACCATCTACCATCTAGCTCTATATGCTTTTGTTACATGTATTGCTTTGAGTAATATACTGCTTTGGAAGCCTTGTCCTTTTGGGGGAACAGGTTTTGCTAGTGATAATGATAATGTGAATGAAATTCTGATTTCTTTAAAAGTAAGAAATAATAGTAACTTTCAGTTCAGACCAGAAAATGATTTTCTTTTTTTGTTTTTTCTCATTTCCTCCCTGCCCCGACCATAAATTGGAAAAAGGATTTATAGTTTCTTAAGATAGTATGCTGTTGATAGTCTAGTATGTGATTGCATTTTTATGATATTATTAGTATGTATTGATAAATTAGTGTGTACTGATAAATTTATTTTCTGATTCAGAATTATCCCTGGATAGAGAATCTGAGGCAGGTACAGGATCGTCAGAACATGAAGATGGAGAAAGAGAGGGAAGTCCCAGAACCTTTTCACGACCTAGTGTACCAATGCCACTGCCTACAGTCCTGCTTGATCGGAAGATTGAAATGCTGCTAACTGAATGGAATAAGAATCCTGACATGCTTTTTACTATACACCCTGTAGATGGTACCTTTCTAGTGTGGCATGTAAAGTATTTGGATGAATATAATCCTGGAATATTTAGACAAGTCCAGGTATATTTTACTGATGAAGCAGTTACTACATTTCTTACAAAAAAAAAAAAAGATGCTATTCAGATTTACCATGTTTTCAGAAATATTCAAAAGATTCTGTTTTTGAGAAGCAACTGAGAAGAGAATACTTATTCTTGTTACCAAAGGGGGATCTATGACCACAGATTTTATAAACCTGGTTAATTCGAAGTAAAATGAATTTGGCTTTGAAATGTGGTACTGGGTATTTGAATATATGTACATTGGCTTTTTTCCTGGGAATTCACATTATTTTTATTAATCTTAAAACTACCCCAAAAATGTGACTCAGTTGTGTCCCCCTAGTTTTAACTAAATCTGTTAACTTTTTGAACTTTATTTTTTTTTTAAGATTTTATTTATTTGACAGAGATCACAAGTAGGCAGAGAAGCAGGCAGAGAGAGAGGAGGAAGCAGGCTCCCCACTGAATAGAGAGCCCGATGCAGAGAGCCCGATGCGGGGCTCGATCCCAGGACTCTGGGATCATGACCTGAGCTGAAGGCAGAGGCTTTAACCCACTGAGCCACCCAGGCGCCCCTTGAACTTTATTTTTATTGAGATTTGTGGTGTGGTCATTTAGCTGTACAATAAGGCACTGGAAACTTTTCTTTTTTTCAGGCTTCTTTTGGGCAGCAAATAGAGATATGATATTATATAAATAGAGGAAAGGAATTAGACCAGAAAGAAGTTGAAAATGATAATTTTTCTAGGATATTTTGAAAATGGAAGTGTGTTTGGAAGACTTTCTGAGAGGAGGGAAACTACTTACATTGAATTCATATCATGTTTTTCAGGTGTCTTTTTCTTCTCGGATTCCTGTTGCATTTCCCTCTGGTGATGCGAGTTCTCTTAGTAAAAATATCATGATGTATGCCTGCATAAATGCTACGAAAGATTCTCCTCACACTCTGTTACACCAAGAGATGATGGCTGTAGGCAGTCCTCACGGATCACAATCGTACTCCAGATCACACACTACAAATATGAACATTTTAGCTCCTACAGTAATGATGGTCTCCAAACACATAGATGGTTCTTTAAATCAGTGGGCAGTCACTTTTGCAGATAAGTCTGCCTTTACCACGGTTCTGACTGTATCTCACAAATTTAGATACTGTGGTCATCGATTTCACCTCAATGACTTGGCATGTCATTCAGTTTTACCATTGTTACTGACATCCTCTCATCATAATGCTCTGTTGACTCCTGAATTAGACTGTCAGTGGGACTCAGACAATAAAGTAAGTAGATTGATGGATCCTGTAAGACATATAAAAGGTTCCTCAAAACAACCTCTTAGAAATGCAGCGACACGTACATTTCATGACCCGAATGCAATATATAGTGAGCTTATTCTGTGGCGTGTAGACCCAATAGGACCTTTGTCTTACACTGGAGGAGTATCAGAATTGGCTCGAATTAACTCTTTACATACATCAGCCTTCTCTAATGTTGCTTGGCTTCCGACTCTTATTCCCAGCTATTGTCTTGGTAAGTGTTCATTTTAATTCTGAAATTAATAAAACCTTTTAAACTGTTTTTAAATACACAAAATGTTTTATATTTGCTATTATTAGGAGGATTTTTAGCAAGTATTAGGAATGTAGACATCAGACTTATGTTTAGAATTTCCAGAAATTTGTTTTTAATTTTTCCCCCTCTCAGGACATATTTTCTATTGATTTCTTTTGTTAATAATGTTATATCCATTAATTTTATGTGTATTTATGATTCTGGACCATGGTTGTGTCTAAAAAGAAAAGTGTGTATAGGTTTCTCATCCTTCAGCCAACAATAAAAATAAACTACATTTATAATGCAAGGCCTTTACTCTCTCAGGCACATACTGCAATTCTGCAAGTGCTTGCTTTGTTGCTTCTGATGGCAAAAATTTGAGACTCTATCAAGCTGTGGTGGATGCAAGGAAATTATTGGATGAATTATCAGATCCTGAATCTTCGGTGAGTATTTCCTAATCTTTATTAAAATATCTAGTCTGATAAGGAATTCTCTTTTTACTTTGTCTGGAACTTTTAGTTGGTGTTTAGGGAATGAGTACACGTTCTGGGCTCTGTATGACAAATTTGCTTTTTCTTAATTTGTGTTTCCAAGTACATGAATCAATATCACACACCAGTATATTTTACATTTAAAGAAGTAAATATGCTTTTTTATCGAGAAATATCCTGATTTCTGCTGGACATTTTTCACTTTCTAGTTTGGTTCTGTTAATCTTTCTTTGCTCTAAGGCAGCTTTACCAAGCGCTTTGTGTAGGTTGGAAAATTTGAGCTTTTCTGAGCTTTGTTGACCATTTAAAAAAAAAAATCCTGTGGTTAGAATATGTTATCAGTGGGTGGCAGTATCTTATTCTGGTGGTTCTGTAGCTGAAGTGGAAGTCAACGTATATTAGTTACTATTCAGATTTGAATAGTGGATTTTACCTTTACCTATGAATACATGCCTTTTTATAAAGTACTTGTTCTAACAAAAATATTTCCAGTATTGAAAACCAAAGATATTTTTGAGTATCTACTATGTGTCCTTCAGAGTGAAGGGGATACAGAGTATAAGTTTCGGTGTGTGTCTTTAAGGAGCTTTAGATTTAGCTGAGGAGAGAAATTATTAATAAAAGCTTTAACAACGGTTTCAGACAGAAGCAGTGTCTGAGGGTGGTATGTAACTAATTGTCAGACAGATGGCCCCGGAAGTCCCATAATCCAGAGGAGAGAGAGATCATAGGAGGGTAGGCCTAGAAGTCTTCAGTAAGGACAATATTTAGGTTTGTTTTTGATGGATGGATAAGGTTTAGAAAGATCCTTTCTCTTTGCTGGAGTGAGAGAATGGCCTCAAAGTGTGGATACGGGAAAGTGCACGTATAAGTAAGGCTTGTTCCAGGAATGGTGGGACAGCCACTTGGCCTGGAGCCAGAGGCCTGGCATAGAGGAAGTAGCATCTTAGAATCATGGACTTGGAAGATACTTTATAGGTCATCTAGTCTAAACCAGCCATGTGATGCTTCATTCCCTGCTACCACATTCCTGCCAGTCTGTCCCCTGGCCTCAGAGCGGGGAGCCTCAGCTCTAAATGCAGCTCATGCTGCTTTTGAATTACCCTCACTGCTATACCGAAATTAAATTTGTATTCCTTAAATTCTGCTTGTTAGCCCTGGTTCCATTTAGGAAAAGTCTAATATTCCTTACATGTGAGATCACTTCAGATATTTGAAGATGACTGTCTTATAACCTATGAAACTTTTTTCCTCAGGCCAAACCTCTCCTTCCCCCAATAAACTAATTCTGTTTTATATTTGGCCCTGGTTACTCTTCTTAGCAGTTTTCAGCTTGTTTATATTCTGGGCGTTGTAGGACCACTAGAATACAGCAGTATTATGGCCCCTCTCATTAGATTCTATCGTGTTTTTGGTAATCATGCTGATTCTTTGTTTGTAATTGATTCATACTGAGCTGACTCTCATTTAAATATCCCAAAATTTCTTTCTGCCAGTAAGCCACTCTGTATTTGTGCATTTGAGTTGTGGCCCAAATGAGTGCCTATTTTCACTATTACATTTCATCTTGCTAGGTTTAGTCTTTCAGTTTCTTTTTGATTCCAGATTCTGTTATTTGCGTTATTGCCTTATGACTTATATCACCAGTCTGTTTGATGAATGTTGTTTCCACATCTTTGTCTGAGTCAATTATAAAAGTGTTAAACAGGATAGGACTGAAAAAAGAGCCTAGCATCGTACATTTGAGATTTTTTTCCATTTTTATTGTCTGAAATATTTCTTCAGCTTGCCTCTAGGATTTCTATGAGGCAGCTTGTCATGAGCTTTTCTGAAATAAAATACACCCTGTCTGCCAAATATCCTGTAGTCAAAAAGGAAGTTAAATGATTGTTTTACTGTATAGTAGGTTAAATGTACCTACCCTGATGTCTGTTGTTGACTAAAAGCCTTGTACTAAATAGACATCAAGGTCTTTAGTTTGCCTTCCTGGATTATTTTGTTTTCCTTTTTGAAAATTGGAACATTTAACTATTGCTAGTATTTTGGGTGCGACATTTCCTATGATTTCTCCAAGAACATCTTCTAAAGTTCATTGAACTCATTTGCAAAATTTCCCACTAACCAGGCATTACTTTTCCAGGAAATTTAAATTTATGTAGAACAGTTAGATACATTCTTGGAATTTCTTTTTTTTTTAATTAATTTAATTTTATTTTTTTCATGTGTTCCAAAATTCATTGTTTATGCACCACACCCAGTGCTCCATGCAATACATGCCCTCCTTAATACCCATCACCACATTCCTCCAACCCCACACTACCCCCCCAAAACCCTCAGTTTGTTTCTCAGAGTCCACAGTCTCTCATGGTTTGTCTCCCTGTCCGATTTCCCCCAGCTCACTTCTCTCCATCTCCCAACGTTGTCTGTTTTATTTCTTCTGCCCCACAAGTAAGTGAAACCATGATAATTGACTCTCTCTGCTTGACTTATTTCACTCAGCATTATCTCCTCCAGTCCCATCCATGTTGATACAAAAGTTGGGTATTCATCCTTTCTTTTTTTTTTTTTTTTTTTTTTTTGGTATTCATCCTTTCTGATGGAGGCATAGTACTCCATTGTATATATGGACCATATCTTCTTTATCCATTTATCCGTTGAAGGGCATCTTGGTTTTTTCCACAGTTTGGTGACTGTGGCCACTGCTGCTATGTACATTGGGGTACAGATGGCCCTTCTTTTTACTATGTCAGTATCTTTGGGGTAAATACCCAGTAGTGCAATTGCAGGGTCTATTTTTAATTTCTTAAGGAATCTCTACATTGTTTTCCAAAGTGGCTGCACTGACTTGCATTCCCACCAACAGTGTAAGAGGGTTCCCCTTTCTCCACATCCTCTCCAATACTTGTTGTTTACTGTCTTGTTGATTTGGGCCATTCTAACTGGTTTAAGGTGGTATCTCAATGTGGTTTTGCATTGAGATACTACATTCTTGGAATTTCTTAATTTATCCTGTCTTCTACTCTTCCCCTTACCAATGTACATTTTTTCTTAGACCTATTTTCATTAATTTATTAATTTTTTAATGTTAAAAAGTAATACATATTCTTTATAGAAAATTTTTGTTTTTTTTTCTGTTTTTTTGCAAGCTAAATTCTTTTTTTTAATTAAAAAAAAATTTTTTTTTTTTTAAATTTTTAGATCGAGAGTGCACGTACATGTTGGGAGAGGGGCAGAAAGGGAAAGAGAGAATCTTAATCAGGGTTCATGACCAGCTCAGGAGTCTGACTCAGGGCTTGATTTCACCACCCTGAGAGCACGACCGGAGCTGAAACCAAGAGTCTGTTGCTTAAGCAGCTGAGCCATCCAGGCACTAACTAGCTAAAATTCTTGAAATGGAAGACCAGAGACAAAGTAGGAATTAGTTCTTATTCTCTCCATCTTTATTAACATTAAAGTATCAGCCTCTGTTAATGAGCTCATCTTTTCCTTTATCCTGTACTCTGAAAATAATAACTTATTTAGTTACTTAATTTTTTATTTTAATTTTTTTTTTAAACTTTATTTGACAGAGATCACAAGTAGGCAGAGAGGCAGGCAGAGAGAGACGGGGAAGCAGGAGCCCCGCTGAGCAGAAAGCCTGATGCGGGGCTCTATCCCAGGACCCTGAGATCATGACCCGAGCCGAAGGCAGGGGCTTAACGCACTGAGCCACCCACGTACCCCCAGTTAATTTTTTAAAATAAATTTTTAGTTTTTGAATAGTTTTAGATTTACAGAAAAGTTGCAACAGTGAACAGTTCTCATCCACCCCACAGCCAATTTATCCTATTGTTAACATCTCATATTACCAGCTGAACTCTAGACTTACTAAGATTTAGAAGATTTTTCTGCTAATGTCCCATTTGTGTTCCAAAATCTCACCCAGAAACCATATTATATTTAGCCATCATGAATCCTTACTTAGCCTTCTCCAATCTTGGATAGTTTCTCAGTGTTCTTCATTTCTTTCTTCCTCAGTATTTTCTCATGACTTTGACAGTTTTGAGTAGTACTGGTCAGACATTTTGTAGAATTTTCCCTTGATTTGGGTTTGCTGTTTTTCTCATGGTTAGACTGGAGTTATGGGTTTTTAGGAAGAATATCCCAGATGTGAAGGACCCTTCTTTCACATTATATGAAGGGTACATGCTATCAACATGGTAAGTAGCTCCTTTCCTCTTTTTTTTTTAAATTTTATTTTTTATAAACATATAATATATTTTTATCCCCAGGGGTACAGGTCTGTGAATCGCCAGGTTTACACACTTCACAGCACTCACCATAGCACATATCCTCCCCAATGTCCATAACCCCACCCCCCCTCTCCCAACCCCCCTCCCCCCATCAACCCTCAGTTTGTTTTGTGAGAATAAGAGTCACTTATGATTTGTCTCCCTCCCAATCCCATCTTGTTTCATTTACTCTTCTCCTACCCCCTTAACCCCCCATGTTGCATCTCCTCTCCCTCATATCAGGGAGATCATATGATAGTTTTCTTTCTCCGATTGACTTATTTCACTAAGCATGATACCCTCTAGTTCCATCCACGTCGTCGCAAATGGCAAGATTTCATTTCTTTTGATGGCTGCATAGTATTCCATTGTGTATATATACCACATCTTCTTTATCCATTCGTCTGTTGGTGGACATCTAGGTTCTTTCCATAGTTTGGTTATTGTAGACATTGCTGCTATAAACATTCGGGTGCACGTGCCCCTTCGGATCACTACGTTTGTATCTTTAGGGTAAATACCCAGCAGTGCAGTTGTTGGGTCATAGGGTAGTTCTATTTTCAACATTTTGAGGAACCTCCATGCTGTTTTCCAGAGTGGTTGCACCAGCTTGCATTCCCACCAACAGTGTAGGAGGGTTCCCCTTTCTCCGCATCCTTGCCAGCATCTGTCATTTCCTGA